GGGTCCTTGGAGAGGACATCATGCTTGGGAGGGTTGAGGGACAACGCAGGAGGGGAAGACCCTCTATGAGATGGATTGATTTGGTGACTGGGGTAATTGGGATGGGTGTGTCAGAGGCAGTGCGGTTGGCGCAGGATAGAGCAGGGTTTAGGGCTGTTGTGCATAGGGTCGCTATGAGACTCGACGGCACATAACAACAACAACAACAAGAAAAGGTTTGAAACAGTGCAAACCACTGATTGGAGACTGAATGAGTAGTAGGATGACATCAAGAATGTCATTAATAAAGAGAGTAAAAGATAGAAAAAACAGAAGAGGAAGCAAAAAACAAAACAGATGGCAGATGAAACCCTGAAAAATCTCACTAGCACACTAAGATGTCAAAACAAAGGGAAGAGATGTTGAAGTAAAAGAGCAGAACACTAGATTTCAAAAGCCATCTCGAGAAGAGAAAGCAAACTGTTATAATGGAATATACAGAGACCTAGAAATGGAGAATAAAAAGGGAAGAACTCCTTCAGCATTTCTTAAACTAGAAAAAATAAACAAACACACAAACAAACAAAAAAACAGGAAGAACAAATTTAAGCCTTGAGTTGCAATTGTTTTTGTTGGATACCATAGTTATGATTGTTGGTCTTGGGTATTGTAGTCAGAAGCGACCCATAGACCCATAAATGACCCTCCAGTGGGTTTTCAGAGGCAGTTAATTGCACCGGAGGAGAATACCCACGCTTCTCCTGCAGAGAAGCTTGTGGCCTCAAGTTGCTTGCCTTTGGGATTGCAGTGCAACTTCTTGCCACTGGGCCACCAGATAAGATGGGCAAAATGTTGAATGATCCAGGAAGTATCAAAGAAAATGGAGGGACACAGAATCACTCTATCAAAAAGAACTGGCCAACACTGAAATATTTCAGGAAATACCATATGGTAAAGAAACACCATATGGTAAAGTATACTAATTGTGAAGAAGGAAGATGATCAAGCTGCAATGAAGACACTGGCAAATATATAAGGCCTCAGGAATTGGTAGGATGCCAATAGACAAATTTCAAATGACAGATACAGCCCTGGATTTACTCTTTGTACTCACCAGAATAGGACAGGAAATCTGGAGGACAGCTTCTTGGCTGACTGTCTGAAAGATATTTATATTGGTTTTCATTTCCAAGAAAGGTGATCTATAAGAATGTGGAAGCTATCAAAACAGCATAATTAATATTACATGCAAGCAAAATACTGCTGAAGATCATTCAAGAGAACTGCAGTGTTTCCCCCTTTAGTCCATACTGGAAGTCAGGAAATAATGAATTAGTATATATAATGAACTGTCATTTTAAACATTCACACATACAGATGACAGTTGGATAAGGAGATGCCATTATAATTTAAATTAATGCTTACTCAGGAATAGAATTTAATTGACATTTTGAGCTCCTAGGGGCAAAGCAAGTAGAGGACAATCAGAAGCTGAAGATCCAAAGATGAACTACTTGATCAAGGATATATCGGTGCAACAAGGTGACAAATCTTATTCTATCAGAGACTGACTTAAAATAAATTTCCCATGCACACATACAAAACGCTAGACTAGTAAATAGACATAATACTGCCAGAAGTTCAAGCTGGAATTAGAAGAGTTCATGGCACCATTGATATCATTGCTGATGTCTAATGCTGAAAGCAAAGAATACCAGAAGAATGCCTATTTATCCTTTATTCACTGTGCAAATACATTTGACTGTGTGAATCACAACAAGTTATAGCTAACATTTAGAAGAATAGGAATCCCAGAACTATTAATTATGCTCATGGTCTATAACTAGATCAACAGGCTGTTGTGCAAGGAAACACTACATGTTTAAAATGAGTAAAGGAGTGTTTCAGTGTTGTGTCCTTTCACAATATCTATTTAATCTGTATGCTGAGCAAATTATTCGAGAAGCTCAACTCTACGATGAAGAATGTGACATCAGGATTGAAGGAAGACTTATCAGTAACCTTTGATATGCAGATGACACAACCTTACTTGCTAAACATTTAGGAGGACTTGAAATCCTTGCTGCAGAAGATCAAACACTACAGCCTTCAAAATATATTGCATCTCAACATCAAGAAAACAAAAATTCTCACCACTGGACCAATAGGTGATATCATAATAGATGGAGAAAAGACTGAAACTGTCAACAACTTCCTCTTACTTTGATCCATCATCAATACACTTGGTTCCAGCAGTTAGGAGATCAGGAGACATACTATACTGGGAATTTCTGTAGTCAGGGACCTCTCTAAATTACTGAGGAGTTATGGTGTTAGTTTGAGGATTAAAGTGCCCCTGCTTCAGACTATGATATTTTCTATTACTTACTATGCTGCTGAGAGCTGCATAGTGAATAAGGATGACATAAAGATTGATGCCTTTGAGCTGTGGTGTTGGAGAGAATACTGACTATCCTATAGTCTGCTAGAATGCTCCTTGGAGGTAAGGGTAATGAAGCGTCATTTTATATATTTAGGTCATATTGCCAATAAAAGCTACTCCTCGGAGTAAAATATCATGCTTGGAAAGGTGGGGCAACAGTGAAAGAGAAAAACCCTCAACCAGTTGGGTTGATACAATAACTACAAAAATGGGCTTGAGTATGTCAGAGATTGTAAGGTTGGCACAAGATAGAACAGGGTTCATATTTGTTGCTCATAGGGTTGCTATGAGTTGTACTTGACGGATGACACCTAACAGCAACAACATACATTTAAATCTTGGCACTGATATGATGTGAAATTATCCTGATTGAATGTAAGTGAATTTTATTGACATAGAAGAAAGACTCTCATGTGAAGATTAAATTTTCCATTTCAACTTGTTTCTCATCACTCTCCACTCATTTCAGTTACAGCTTACCTCAGGGCAATGTTTCTAATGAGAAGCTGTGGCAGAAACTGAAACAGAGGAATCTGATTGCATTATTCTAAGAAGAATGCTAATTAATGATTTTTTTTTGGTAAGTATCCATCCAAATTTTCCCTTTGACTATAGCTTCTATCAACTTTATTTGTCTTGCACATCATGAAATTTTATCATTAGTCTTGCGTTACAGATGGACGGTTTTTCCTCCCCTCTTCTTTCTGAAGTATAGATGACTTTTTGCAGATGATAATGCTAATTGTTCTCTTTTACTTGTTAGGTTGTTTTGAATGAAAAGTTTGGGTAGATAGGTTAATTAAAATGCAAATTCTATTTCTTTTGGATTTTCTCCTCTGTTTGTTCTTACTCTATATTCTGAGTATTTATGATAGAAGCACACACACATAGGAAAATTATGATTCACTGACAAATTAAGGAAAGAAATTTGTGGCAACTTTATAGAGCTCTTTAGAGGAAGTTTGATTAAACTAAATGAAAAATCATACTCACGCAGAGATGGTCTTTTCTCGAGGTTCTGGGGGTAGTCCCACTTTCAAATGTTTCTGGTGAGAGAGAAGGTCTGTGCAAGCCTAAAAAGACGTGGTACAATAACAATATTATACTCATAACACTTGAGATTCCCATAAAATTTTTCGTGGTTCTCAGTCTAGCAACTTTTGCTTCTCCTCAATACTAAATTGAGACACTTTGAAATCTCATGCTAAGGAGACATGAAAAAAAAAGAGAGAGAGACTTACAGGAGCAATGAGATTTTTGTCTGTTTGTTTATTGTTGTTTTAATATCTTAGGCAGTAGGAATTATTTGTATACATTTATTCTTAATACAGAAATTATACACAGCTACACTTACATATTTTTTATGATTCAGTGATACGTTTCTATTATTCACAAACAAAAGAACTAACTGAATATCAGAAACTTTATGTGGGAAAGGCATTTTAAATTTTTAGTGGAGCTCTGGTGGCCTAGTGGGTAAGGAGTTTCACTATTACATGGGTAATCTAGTTGATAGGGAGTTGAACTGCCTTTTCAAATGCACCAGCCATTGGAGGAGGTATGTGGGAAGATAGACAATCTCGAGGGTCAGCTATGAGTTAGTTCCTTCTACACCTCAATGAGTATGTGTGTGATGGGTACCTTAAGGAAGACAGCATGGAAATACATTTTTAAAACTCTTCCACATCTACACTTACTAAGAATTCCTAAAGAAGAATTAGTTGTACCTCATCAAGGGCTTCCACCTTCTTCCTTAGAATTCCAGAGATATAACGGATTAAGCCCCAGTGTCGAATTTCACCAACTTTTCCATATAGTTCATGAAGAAGCTCTCTGACTGTAGCACTCCCTTCATAATACATTCCAGGGTCCCAGTCAGGTCCTCTGGAATTTTACAGATAGTTTTACATTAATTACAAAGTCTCTATCAACAAACTTTTATTTTTATATTATAATATACATATGCCTATTTTTTGGTAATAGATTTCCATTATTAGGAAACAAATGTAATTTATTAAGAATCATTGTAAAAATATGAAAAATTTGGCCCTGAAAGGCAAATACCTAGATAAGCATAAGTCTTCATTTCACCTGGGCTTTGAAAAACTGCATCCCACAAACCTCAACATAATTGAAATGACAAAGATTTGATTCAGTCACTGAAAGTTTAGAAAGAATGTAAAACATATGGAGAAACAAGAATGTGTGTTTATTTTAAAGGATATGTATACATCATTATAAAAATTAGAATACAATAATTAAAGAAAGAAATAGAATAAAATGAAAAATAGAAGTAAAACTGAAGATGTGATAAAGATATATAAAGTGCTATGAAATTGGAAACTATATGTGATGGAAGTTATTTAAATTACTCATTAAGTGATGCTAATACAATCATACAACATCTGTAGAAAAAAATGGATCCATACTTCACATGGTCCAACAAAATTACAAATATATTAAAGATTTGCATACAAAAGTTCTAGGAAGAAAATATAGATGACCTATTTTATAATACTGGAAGTAAAAAGATTTTATAACTATGAAGCTACAATATACATAAAACAAGATAAAATTCTTATTGGAAAATCAACTGTAAGCAAAATTATAGGACAAATTAAAAACTGCATAATATGAGCAATTCATACACAATTCTCCTAATTATTTAAAAAAGCTTAATACATTTTTGTTGTTAGGTGCCAGCAAGTTGATTATGATTCATAGTAACCTTGAACTATCATAAGTCATCATCAAGATCTTTGTTATGCCCTAGCCCATTGTTACAGTCACTATGCCAATCCATCTTTTTTTTTAATATTTTTAAAATGTATTTTATTTCATTATTTTGTGTGTGTGTGTCGTCTACGACTCGATGGCATTAAACAACAACAACAACAACTGTCAAATCAGATCTGACTGGTACAGGAGGAAATTGTTCCTCCTTCTCCAGCAGAGCATCTGGTGGATTCAAACCGTGCATCTCTGGGATTGCAGTTGCAGCTTCTTGCCACTAGGCCACCAGAGCTCGCCTATGCCAATCCATCTTGTTGAGAGTCTTCCTCTTTTTCTCTGACTTTCCACCTTTCCCAGCATGATGTCTTTTTTCCAATTTGTGAGACCAAGTTTCACCATCTTTGCTTTTAAGGAACACCCCCTTACACTTCCGCCAAGACAAATTCATTTGTTCTTTTGCAAGCCCATAGAATATCCAACACTCTTCTCCAACACCACAGTTTAAAGACATCAAATATTTTTCTGTCATATATCTAACTTTCAGTTGGATGGGAAGCAATTGAAAATAGCATGGCATGGATGAGGCACACCTCAGTCTTTAAGCTAACATCAATTCTTTTTAGCACTTTGGAGATGTCCTTGACTGCAGATTTTCTTAAAGCAACACATCTTTTGATTTGTTGACTGCTGTTACCATGGGTGTTGATTGTGGATGCAATTAAAGAAAATTGTTGATAATTTCAAACTTTTCTCCATTGATCATGATGTTGACTATTGATCTAGTGGTGAAGATTTTTGTTCTGTTGATATCGAGATACAATTTATATTGAAGTCTTTGATCTTCTGCAGCAAGTGTTTCAAGTCCTCTCCACTTCCTACAAGTAAGCTTGTGTCATCTGAATAGCGCAGGTTGTTGACAAGTCTTCTTCTAATCTTCATGACACTTTCTTCTTGATAGAGTCCATGTGTTTGAATGAGCTATTTATCATACAGATTGAACAAGTATAGAGAAAGGATACAATCTTGACACATCTTTCCTGATTGTAGACATAGAGTGTTCTCTTGTTCTTTTCAGAGAACTGCTTCTTGAGCACTATGAAGTATTCTGGGATTTGTATTCTTCTTAGTGTTATCCATAATTTGTTATGATCTACACATTGATATGTCTTTGCATGATCAAGAAATAAAAATTCTTTGCATGATCAATGAAACTCAAGTAAAAAATCTTTCTGGTATCATTCATTTTCAGATGAGATCTATCTAACATTAGCAATGATATTCCTTGTGCCACAACTTTTTCTGAACTTGAATTTCTGGAGTGCACTGTCTATGTACTGTTCCAGCCATTTTAAAATAATCTTCAGCAAACTTTTACTTGCATTTTATATTGATACTGCTTAAAAATTCTCACATTCTGTTGGATTACCTTTTTGGGGGGATGAGAACAAATATGGATCTCTTTCAGTCAGTTGGCCAGGTAGCTGTCTTCAAAATTTATTGGCATAGCCTAGAGAGGCACATTGAGGGCTACATCTGTTGGTTCAAATACATGCATTGGTATTCTGTAAATCTCTGGGGACATAATTTTTCATGCCTCAGTGGAGCTTGGAATTTTCTCCTCATTGCCATTGCTACTTCATTATATACTACTTTCTGAAATGGTTCAGTGTTGATCAATTCTTTTGGTACAGTTATTTTGTGATGAAAAAACTTCCTAAAACAACAAAGAAAAATGTGGCAAAAATATCATTGACTTTCCCCCTCTCCAATCAGTGGCTTTTAAGTAAAACAAAACAAAACAAAACCCCCCAAACCCAAAACAAAACAAAACAAAAAAACCAACACCAAAAAACCGCAAGATGTTTCACCTCTATCATAATAAGAAAAATGAAAATTAACACTGATTTGAGTTAATATTTTCTCATATATTTGGCTCACCATCATGGTATTTTGTGCACTCAGACTGGAAGGGTTTCTCCTGGACGCAGAGGAACCTGGGTTAGCCTAAGATAGTGTCTTTGGCTGTCTTGTAGGGTCATCCGTGGTGAATAGGTTTCAGTGGAACTTCCAGACTAATATACACAAAGAAGTAGAACTGCCTATCCACTTCTGAAATAACAAGTCTTTGAAAACCCTATGAGTAACAGAACAACATGATTGGATATGGTCTCTCAAGACAAGCATCTCAGGTCAGAAGGTACTCAAAGAATGAGGAGACACAGTTGCAAACATCCATTAATGATGGGAACATGGAATATACAAAGTGTAAATCTAGGAAAATGAGAAGTTGTAATAAATGACACAGAATGCATAAAGATCTACATCCTAGGCATCAATGACCTGAGATAGACTAATATTGGTCACTCTGAACCAGAAAATTATATAATTGATTATGTCATTCCTGAATGAAAAATTGAAGTGAATTTGTGTCCCAAAATTAAAAAAAAGAAGACAAATATTTCAACATCTATCTGGAATTACAATGCTGTGAGTTATTGTTGTTAGGTGTCATCCAGTTGAGTATGATTCATAGCCACCTTATGAACAGCCAACCTGAAAGTTGATCTATGTCAATCCGCTTTGTGGGAGGTCTTTCTCTATTTTGCTGACCCATTATCTTTCCAAGTATGACATCCTTTTCCAAGAATGGCATCCTTGTCCAAGAAGTAGTGAGCACTCTAGCCCTACCCTTTCCAGAACATATTTGTTCTTTTGGCAATCTATAGGATACTCAGTACTCTTATCCAGCACCACAACTCAAAAACATCAATTCTTCTGTCATCATTATTCATTGCCCAGCTCTCTGATGTGTAGCAGGTGATTGAGAAGACCGTGGACTGAATCAGGTACACCTTAGTCTTTAAACTGACATCAATGCTTCTTAGGAATTTGGAGAGGTCCCTGAGAACAAACTTCTCCAGTGTGGAAAAGATTCAAGTTTGGTTCATTAAAAAAAAGAAAAGGTGATTCCACAGAGTGCAAAAAGTATTGAATAAAATAATTAATATCACATGCAAGTAAAATCTTGATAAGATTATTTTTAAAATGACTGGAGTAACATATCAATGACAAAAGTTATACAAGTGTTCAAGTTTTTAGTTCGTAGGGTCTCTATGAGTTGTCTATGACTTAACAACAATAACAACAACAACAACAACAACAACAACATAGTTCTGTTGGCCTAGTGGATAGAAAGCTATGCTACCAAGCCAAAGGTGGGTGATTTTAATCTGTGGACCTCAGGCCTGGTTTTAATTGTTTTTGGTCATTCTTCTAAGTGGTATAGCACTGGACTATTCATTTGCTGTACAGAGGTAATTCGTGGTTGTTGTGATGGTAAACACTGTGACAATGATGGTGTCAAATGTGATATTGGTTACCCATGGCGGACAGTCTTTGGTGGAGCTTCCCAATTAAAACAAGCTTGGAAGCAGGAGTGGTATCCACTTCCAAAATGACTTGCCTCCACAAACTCTAAGAACTTGGAGAAAAGATAAAAGTTATACAAGTGTTCAGGTCTTTGTTCATAGGGTCGCTATGAATCGTCTACAACTTGACAACACTTAACAACATATCAACAGAGAATTTCCAAAAATTCATGTTGGATTTAGAAGAAGCTTCAGAACAAGGGATATCATTGCTAGTATCTATCAATAATACCTAAAAGCAGAGAAATATCAGATAGATGGTTGAAGGATAGAGGATCAATATCTACAAATCAGTGGGATTTTCTGCATTAACAAAAAGAACACAAACAAGGAAACCATGAAAGCAATACTATTTTTAATTGTTGTTGTTTTGTGCCGTTGACCCTATGTACAACAGCCTTAAAACCTGCTCTATCCTGTGCCAATCTTATTGTCTCTGACACACCTACCACCATTATCTCAGTCACTGAATCAATCCATCTCATAGAGAGTCTTCCTCTTGTACACTGTCCCTCCACCCTCGCAAGCATGATGTCTCTCTCCAAGGACTGGTCAGTCCTTACAACATGCCCAAACTACGTTAGACGAAGCTTCAGAATCCTTGACTCCAAAAAGAAGCCTGTTCTCACCCTCTCTAGGATTAACTTGTTTGTTCTCCTAGCAGTCCGTGATATAATTAATACACTTCTCCAGCACCACAGCTCAAAGGTATCAATTTTCCTT